CTGACTTTTGCAGCTTCTGCCCCCACTGTTGTCACGGCAGGGTAGAGCCCCACCGAGGACTGTGCTGTGGGACCACCACCATGACCGGCGTGGGGCTTGGGAGCTGCTCTCTCTCCGTGGAGGAAGGGAGACTCTCATTCTCTGTGATTGCTGGGCCTACAGCATGCCTGGAATTGTGTCCTGTTAACTTTGGCTTAAAAAAATCTAATAATGCCAGAGGGCTAAATAAATCATGTGTTGTGGTTCCAAAAGAACGAAGTACAGGGCTATGCAATGATTTGTCTTATTCTAACCTATTTTGGAATTTGAGAGTTGACCGAATCTCACCAAGGACAGATCCTAATGCTGCTCTGTGGGCATTTTCCATGAAGTAATTAAATCAATGAGCACGTCTTCCGGGGGCGACCATTAAGTCCTCTGGATTTAGTGCCCTCGGTGGAGAGGCGAGCAGGGCTCTGGGTGTGTGTGGGAGGAACGGTGTGATCTCAGGCTCTGCATATCAATTGCCTATAGGCAAAATAAAGTTACAGTTCCTGAACTTTGGGAGAGTCTTCTGCTGCCACTTTTTCATGAACACCTAGTTTTGAATCCGATGGTGCTTACTAAGTCTAAGACTAGACAGCCATTCAGAGCCAGCCTCCCTATATATTTTTTCTGAGTTCTGTGAGTTCTATAGGCTTTAATTTATTAAGGAATAAAGTAGGGGAACCTTAATTCTATAGGAAACAAAAAACATCTGTTTACTCAGAAGCAGCAAAGCCTGGTAGATAAATCTCTGAATGCAGTAACTACATCCATGGGAAGGCAGTGATAACTCACTTCAAAAGCATTTTCTAGATATTGTTACCTTCAGCAGCTTGTTTTCCTCTGGTAGTCAGAATGTTTGCCATGAGAATATTTAGTTTGTTGATTGAAGAATTCAGGAAATGAGACTGGAAAAAAGCATAATCCAGCAGAAGACATATGGACCCACAAACAATGTTCTAAAAGAAAAGGTCTGCTTTGCTGTAACAGGAAAGCATAATTTCCCTTTGGGTCTTTACTTTTTAAATATATATGAGATTTCTTAGAAGAGAAAGCTACCTTTGTATGGACTAGCTCTTACTCTTTTTGTGTGAGATTAAACAAATGCCTAAAAATACTGGCCAAGACCACCTCTAAATATAGCAATGTCCTCGAAGTAATCCATTAGGAGGCTATTTATGATTTTTAGACATTGTTCAAAATCATTTCAAACAAGAAGTTAAAACAATATCAGAGCCTCTGGAATGTTCTTAGATGTGATCAAATAACTTGATATAAAAAGTTCTGCCAGATGATGGATTTAGACACAGCCAGATTGGATTCTCTCAGGTTCAGTTTATGAATTAGAATCAATGAGACAGAAGTATTACTTTGGTCAAAAACTAAGCATGTGTTTTAAAGGTTTTATGGCTTTGAAGGCCAATTCCAAATGGGAATTTTTGGGGGCTTTAGCTATTTTAAAACAAACATCATTCTTCCAAAGAAGACTTCAATAGAAAAAACTCATCTGAATTTACACATTATAGTGCATGTGGGTAAAATTAGTCTTAGTTTAGGAATATCTCCTTTGCTAGTAAAAGACAGCTTACAGCTGCGTTGGTAGATATTTTTCAAATGTTACATGGACTTAATGACTTTGCAAATTTGCAAAATAAAGAACAAGTCATTTCCTAGCAACCGAGCCCATGTGTGCAATACAGAGTGAGCTTTGAGAGCAAGACTGATGGAGTCCTTTTCATTTTTAATTGCTTCTATTACCATATGCATTTATGCTACACAAAATAGTCAAATTATTTTTGGAAAATATTTTACTTTACAAAATATGTGTTATGGTTGCTAGAACGTTTTTCCATGTTATTACTCCAGAAACAAAGGGATTTGTAAAAAATAAAAATGTTTTATTAGTATCTAAACTCTGAGAAATAATAAGGGGAAAGGGAAGTTCCCAGAGTGGCATATTAAGTAGTGAAGTGGCACAGGGTGGTTGGCTGGGAGCAGTTTCTGTGACAGCAGGTGCTCCAGAAGTCCTCTGAAGCTCAGCACTGTCAGATGTCCACAGCCGAGTCTTAGTCCTAAGACAATCTTGGGATGCTTTGGCCACCTCAGTCTCACTTTCTCTGTTGGTGCAGGGGCTGGGACAAGCTCCCTTCCCCTCAGTCTCTTTATCTACCTAATCCTCAAATGCACAGGAAGTACTGTGGCAACTCTAGGTGTGGGGCTCTAGTAGGTCTTCATTTTCTGTTTTGTCCAAGTCCCACGGTTGTCTCAACTCCACCTCCTGCTCTGCCCAGAGTTTATGCCTGCTGTTCTGGCCTCGTCAGTTAGGGATATGTTCTCTTATTCCCAGAAGTAGGTGAGTTTGGATTAGGAGACATCAGCAGTCTATGCAGGGTCCATTTCAGCACCATGCCGTAGGGTCTGATGCTTGGACCCAGGCCACGTGCCCCTGAGCTGCATAGAAATGAGTCTGGAAAGTCAGGTCCACCACGCATGGTGGTTTGTTCAGTGTTGTTCTCATGTGTTAGGAACGGCATGCTGTGCTGTGTGTGCAGAATGAGGTGCAGTTCTCAGCAGAAACCTATGAGTTTGGGGCTGGTAAAGCTAATTAGAAGGGCATCCTACGGCTAGGTTTTCTACCTACCTATCTCCCTCTGTCCATCCATTCATCTACCTACCTACCTACCTACNAGTAGGTGAGTTTGGATTAGGAGACATCAGCAGTCTATGCAGGGTCCATTTCAGCACCATGCCGTAGGGTCTGATGCTTGGACCCAGGCCACGTGCCCCTGAGCTGCATAGAAATGAGTCTGGAAAGTCAGGTCCACCACGCATGGTGGTTTGTTCAGTGTTGTTCTCATGTGTTAGGAACGGCATGCTGTGCTGTGTGTGCAGAATGAGGTGCAGTTCTCAGCAGAAACCTATGAGTTTGGGGCTGGTAAAGCTAATTAGAAGGGCATCCTACGGCTAGGTTTTCTACCTACCTATCTCCCTCTGTCCATCCATTCATCTACCTACCTACCTACCTACTTACCCACTTATTTTTAATACTTGTTTGAAATAAGACCCTGGGAGTCACCTAGGGTGAAGAGAGGATATGTCTCTGCATTTGGAAGCCTGTGTCTGGGCAATCGCTCATGGGGACAGACAGCTTTCACACAAGGACACCATGTCAACAGTGCCTCTGGGCAGAGCCCTTTCCATAGGCGAGCGAGTTCTCTCTCATTTGTTACCCTTGCCGTCCACAGGCACAGCCACACTGTGCTCTGTCCCGTAAGGGAAAGTGGCTACAACTGTACACACTGTAAGGTTTTCAGAGAGGGGGAAACGTTAATAAACAGGTAACAGTGATCCTTTAAGTTAGAGCAGGGTGTGTATAGAAGGTGCTCTGCCGTGAAGGCTGGGCCGGGAACAGGCAGTGCTCACACCCTGGCCAGGGCTGGGAGGATGTGTGAGGAGGCCTCTGGGGCTTCGCGTCCTCAGTAAATGGGGAGGTCTCGCCAGCCTGAGATGACCCGCTCTCACTTTTCTTGGTTTTATTCCATTCCATGCCATGTTTTCCTTTCCTATTTGTCGTATAGATAACTATACTAGATTATATACACACGTGTGTATGTATTTTTTATGGAAATTTGTATTTATAAATACACAAATTGACCAGCCACAGAGGTGCCTGCACTGTTGCTTACTGTGTGCACAAGGCTCCATACTCAGTGGGCTGATTCATTTTTAAAAACCTTTCTTTTCTTTTCCTCCCTTCCTTCCTTCTCTTGAATTTCACTAGGTAGGGGTTTTGAATCCACAGTAATGATCTGTAATGATCAAGCTTTTCTAAACGTTTATAGTCTGCTCCTTTTTAAGGTTAAATGCTCTGGCAGGTGAGTCGTGTAGATGAGGAAGCACATGAACATTTCTGCATTTCTTGATCTTGTCTCTTCTCTGGGGGAAAAAAGTGAGATGCGTTTAGAGATGAAGGTGATTTTCTTTGGGCTTCTAGGAACAAGCCCATATCGTTATGCCAGTTCACTAAAAGTCTTCCCTCAATCAAGTAAAGTGTCACTAATTGGAAGGTAAGGCAGATTGAATTATTATTCAGCTGTGCTTTTAAAAAATATTTAATATGTATCTAGAGTAGCCTGGATTGCCTCAGCCAGTTGAGGCCCTGACAAAATGCTTTCATGATGCAACGTGATCGACAACACAGTCTGCCTGAGTGTTTGCATTAAATTATGAACTGCAGGGCAAACGTGTCCCTTTTCAGTCTCTCAGGAGCCACCAGGCCCTGGCAGCCACTTTATCCCCCATCGCACTCTTTGGGTGGGTCTGGGTGGAAATCTGCATCGTTAGAGACTGAATGTAAGAGGCTCTATGACGGTTTAAGACTTCCACACAGCAGCATACAGTGTTTTCTCACCACTGGGCACTCACAAGCTTACGTTCATTATCATTTGTACTTCCGCCATCTATGACTTACAGATCAGTCGATGTTATGGCAAAGTTCCACCCATTTTAAAAGAGATTTTCATTTTCTCATCCAGGGTTACCAAGGCATGGTAGATGGAGGTCCCAATATTGTGGAAGCAGACTGGGAGAGCGTCTCCAGCATCCTGCAAGTGGTGCGTACTGTGTTACTATTTATCTGTTCTCTGAGTAAGCAAGTAGCTCTTTTAGTTTGAAACCTTTTACACTTTACCCTTCGGTAATACTTACCCCAGATTGGACCGGCCCCGTGGCGCACTCGGGAGAGTGCGGCGCTTGGGAGCACAGCAGCGCTCTCGCTGCGGGTTCGGATCCTATATAGGTATGGCAGGTGCGCTCACTGGCTGAGCGCGGTGCGGGCGACACCAAGCCAAGGGTTGCGATCCCCTTACCGGTCACGAAAAAGACAAAAAAAAAAAAATACTTACCCCAGATTAATGTGCATACCTGGCATTATTCTTGCCTATATGCGTGGAAAGAAAACATCCTGAATTTATCTTAATTAAATTAAAGAAAAATAAATAAGAAATGAAATGAAATGAAAATGTGAAATGATTTAAACTCAGGAATTATCCTTGCTATAAAAAGTTATGTGGTATAGCTAATGTACATCCTGGTGCCTCTAGGAGATTTTTGCTTTTTAGACCAGACTAGTGTTGAGGCTACCTTGGTTTGCCAAGGCTGTGTGTTCAGTGGCAAATCTCATGCCTGCTGGGTTTCTGCATGTCCCTTGGCGTTAAGTGTAACAAAGCCTGAGAAAGATTCCTTCTGGCAGCCTCCAAGGGCTGTGGGTTTAATGGGGACACAGCATCCCTGTTCTGGCCTGAATCAGGGCTAATTTCCTTGGTTTGCACAAAGATGAGGTAATTACCTCTTCAGGAGAAATAGTTGCTTACTTTGAATTTAAAAGAAATATCCCTAAGGACGTTATGCCTAATAAATTCCTAGAACACTTTAGCTTAGTGTAGGCTCCAAATCAGTTGTAAAATAAAGAGATGACATGGAGGGAATGGACTTCAAGAAAAGTTTGTGGTTTGCTTTTTTAAAATGAATGTATTAATCCCTGACTCATGTTGAGTACTTTTTAATAGAAAGAAACCAAATTGGTATGTTCACTTTGAAGATGCCACTGGGATGTGGTTTCAGTGCTGATCACAGACTCTGCACTTGGGATCTCTTTAGCTCTGCTGCACCTGGACAGAAGGTGGAGGCAAATTGACATCCACCAATAATTAGGTGGAGCAATATTTGCAAGCGCAGATGAGGACAGTATTGGCTGAATTCTAGATGGGAGAGTATTTCCATTCTGCTATTGTGAGTGGGATAGGAAAATAGGAAATACATGTGTGGTTGAAGTGTGTGTGTGTGTGTGTGTGTGTGTGTGTGTGTGTGTCATTGTCTTTGTGTGGTGTGTGTATGTATCTCTGAGTATGTGTGTGTGGTGTGTCTTTGTGGTATGTGTAAGTGTATGTGTGGTTAGGGTGTGCTTGTGGTGTGTGCTTGGTGTGTGTGTGTCAGTACATGAATAGTGTCCACTTATCTGCAGCTCTGTTTTTCCTGCTTTCGTTCACAAGCCTCTGATCATCTTATCTCCTGAGGCTGGTGTTTCTGGGCTGCTGACTCCACCCCCAGCTGTGACAAATCACATGGTCCTGCACCTGCTGTCTGTCAGCACAGAGCGCGGAGCCCCTGCACACGGCCCTGCATGCTGCGCCTCCCAGCCAGGCCCGCCTCTGCGGCGTCGAGTCTCGTGTTGTCCCAGCACACAGTACTAAAATCACTAATTCAGGATCGCTGTGGGAGGTGGTAGCAGGAATCATGCTGAATGAATTCCACTTTTATTAGTAACCTCTTTATGATGCTTTGACCAATTAAATGGTGGCAATTTTCATGTAAAGACACCTGGATTTTCCTGGCTTGAAATAAGTCTTCATAAATTAAAGTGAGGTATGCGCATGCATTCGTAGCATGTCTAAACAAATACCATCATGTGAGCATGAGGAACGCCTTCAGCAAGCCAGCTCCCGAGAGATCTGTCCTCGATACTAAGACGACACTGTCCATAAGCACCTTGCTTTATGAAGAAAACATGCCTTGAGGGGTCGAGTACAAATTGGAGTTTTATATGTGCATTCATGATTTACTTAAGGGGATCCTGCATTTTTCTACATTCCTCTAACGAGATTTAGTTTTTGAAAGAAAAATCCTGATTTATCTTTCCTGGAAGTTTGGGTGATCAAATTTAATTTTTTTTAAGATTTAGCTTTTTAAAAAGGGTGGAGGGGATAGTGTAAAACTAGATCCCTTTGGGTGACAGATTTCTACTCGTTTTGCCTGTGCACAGGGTTAGGTCTGGCTAATAGGAGGAGAGCCTTGGTCATGTGGTGGCCGAGGGACAGGCTGTTTCTCTAGCCGGACTGATCAGTGTGGGCTCACCTTTCACTCCATGAGTGCCTGGTCGAGCTCACCTGCTGCCACAACCTTGCAGACCTTTGTGTATTTAGTTGATGGCTGCCTTTGTTTTCATTCCCACACCCCACTTGGCCACCCCGGATGTGACGCCTGTGTCTTTACCCATGGAATTCCAGAATGGGGCTAAAAATGGGAAAACCACAAACCCTCACAGTTGACTGACTCAGAAGATGAAAATGAGAAAAACCTAAGTTTGAAAGTCCTGGGTTGCTACCTTTGTCCAGTCCATGTGCTGAGGCACCTGGCTTTCTGTCCAGGCAACAGGAGACGAACACAATCTCTTTCTGTTCTAGGGCGGGACGATTATCGGTAGCGCACGATGTAAAGCCTTCCGCACGCGGGAAGGCCGCTTAAAAGCTGCTCATAACCTGGTCCAGCTGGGCATCACCAACCTGTGTGTGATCGGCGGGGACGGGAGCCTCACCGGGGCCAACATCTTCCGGAAGGAGTGGAGCGGGCTGCTGGAGGAGCTGGCGCAGAGCGGTACGTTCCCACTCCTGCTCGTGCAGCGCCCTGGCTGTCCTGTTTCCCTCCATCGTCTTCCCTGCAGAGAGCCTTGGACCACATGTTTTGCCTTTCAGCCACAGCAGAAGTATCTGCTGAATAGGAATACTACCTACTTAGCCCTGTTGTGTGCCAGGCACCATTCCATCTTTTACATAGACAGTTTTATGGAATCTGCAATAGGTTTTTATTTATTCCAATTTCACAGATGAGGGATCAGAGGCCACAGGGGAAGCCCTTCTGGTGGCAGTGGGCGTGGACCAGGTCCACATCAGCCCTCGGGCACCAGCATCCACACTTTGCGGCATTACACAGTATCCCTCTGGCTCCGCTGGAGTCTTTTAAAGCTTGACTTGTTGCAGGGCTTTAATTTAGATGACAATGAACTGACATTACATCATCCTCTATCACCTTTGAGCTACTTAGGATTTCTGAGAACCTGTATACACACTAGTTTTTCTCTCTTCTTAAAGCTGTTGTTACACCACTTCAATTTAACATACAACATGACCAACAAAAGTGCATTGCTCAAACTAACAGCAACTTCATGAAAAGTGTAAAATTGAGGTGGGCAGGTGTGCCCAAGTGTTGTGAAATTCTATTTTGTAAATAGAGAATGGCTGTCAGATTGGAAGTCCCAAGGGCCTTCCTGTCTTCTCTTGGTAGCACACAAGGGACAGGGCACACGTCCAGGCTTAGTGTGCCCAGTCCCCTGTGACCATTCTAATTTCACCTCTGCAGAACTGCTCAACCCAGATGTGTCTGTCCCACAGGTGCTAGGTAGATACCTGCCAACTGACTAGCTCCCCATGGATCTATATGAAATCAATACAAAGATGACATAATTCTGAAATTGTAACTAACATAGCCTTACTCAGAGCCACGTCATTCTCCAAAGGCATTGCTAGGTGGAATTGAGATTTCCATCCACCAATCGCATGTGGAACTGCTCCTTGCTGATACTTTTGTAACTCAGTGCTCTGGTGAAGGTGCCAGATATACTTTTTGTGCTCACATTTTGTGTAATTACTTCCACCTTTGTCTGGCCTTTCTTTTCGAGTGCACAGAATCGGGTCACTTATAGTTCTGAGAAAACAATAAATAGGGAAAGAGTTCAGCACAGTTGCCTTCTTCACCCACGGCCCTTCTGTCCCATACCCCGGGGTGCCTGTGGAGTTAGCAGCAGTCACTAGCTATGAGGTGTGCCCTTGTTTCTGATGCAGGCAAGATTGACGAGGAGGCCGTGCAGAAGCACGCGTATCTCAATGTGGTGGGCATGGTGGGCTCCATCGACAACGACTTCTGTGGCACAGACATGACCATCGGCACGGACTCGGCTCTGCATAGGATCATTGAGGTCGTCGACGCCATCATGACCACGGCCCAGAGGTAAGAGGACCTGAGAAACCAGGGGGAGTCGACACTGGGCATGCGACGTGCCACAGTTGTAGATGTTACTGCTGTGCCACAATTGTGGACGTTACTGCTGGCTCTAGAATGTTCTGCAGATGGGAGTCCCAGTGCAAGTCTTGTAATTTGAGTATTAGAAACCGGTGCAAGAATGTTGTTCTTTGGTTTACTTTTCATTTCTAATTTTGAAACGTTGCTTTAAAAGAAAAAAATCTGATTATGAAAGAAAAATGTATTCTTGCGAGGGAATTTAGAAAACAGAGGAAAACAAAATAATTATTACCATACATCCTGCCCAAAGTTCTCCTGAAGGAATAGCTAAAGGAAAAGCTGTTGGGTGTTTTGCCACCCACTTGTTGGACATGTGGATCCACATGGCCTCACTGCTCTTTCCAACCCCCGAATTCACAAGAGTGCAGGTGGAGCAACAAGGTTCGACCCCAGGTGATCTACACTTATGACAGGTCATTGCCAAAACCTCGCCATGGGCACCCTAGAATTTCTGAAGCACTTTTGATGAAATCCTTGAGAAACAGGAAATAGAATGAGTGTCTCTCACTTTATTGATGAGTTGAGATATGGAACATTGAAGCAGGTCCCCAAAGAGCAGGTCCCCTGAGTCCCCTCTGTGTTTCTGTCCCATCCACAATGCTGCCTTACTGGGCTGTCTGAGTCCATGGGTGTGGACTCCGGGACTGTCAGAAAACCACGTCATCTCTTTGGAGTTGGAAGGATTGCTCAGAGCAGTGGATTTTTCCATTCCATGGAAAGACTGTAGTCACTGGGCGTTCACTGAGCTGACTTTGTAACACTTATACGCATGCATTTATGTGGGATTTATCCAACCATGGTTCTTGACAGAAGTAGCTGACTTTGCCCAATATAGTCATCATCTTGGAAAGGGCACAGAGAAGTGTCCTAGGAGTGTAAACATGTCTTGGGGTATGAGCAGATAGATGTCATAAAGTATGTAACTAGAAATACGTTAAATATGTTAAAATATGTTGCTGCTGAAGCTTCTTTACATGCAAGAGACTGAAATGCTATTGCAGTAGTGTTTGCTTTTGAAGAAAATGGGTTATTTTTTGGAAGCTTAGGAACCTTTCATAATTACAAAGCAGGCTCCTGTCTAACTTGGCTGTAACTGCACATTTCTCTTGGCTTTTTATGCTGTTCCCAGTGATGTAAGTGGATGTTCCCTTTATGTCTTTTCCAGCCACCAGCGGACCTTCGTTCTTGAGGTGATGGGACGACACTGTGGGTACGTGCCTGAAGACGCAGATCTGGGTGGGACAGACCCTGAGCGTACTCTCCTCGGGCACTGGAACCCCAGATCATGAGTGCTCCCTGGAGGGCTCGCAGAGGAGCTGGCATTTCCCGATGAGTATGACAGTGTCATATCTACCCAAGTTTGCCAGTGCCTAGGTGCCCCATGATCACCGTAGAAGGCTCCTCCTCAGCATGTTGACACTGTTGCCTTTTCCACACAGGTACCTGGCCCTGGTGAGCGCCTTGGCCTGCGGGGCAGACTGGGTGTTCCTTCCGGAGTCTCCCCCCGAAGAGGGTTGGGAGGAGCACATGTGTATCAAACTCTCAGAGGTAACTTGTTCTGCCCGTGGTGCTGGGCACATTGCTTTCATCAGCGCCCGACACAGCCTCTGGAATTTCCAACTCAGATAGCATTCTATGCATGTCAAAACTTTTGGACCATAGATGAAGTCAGGCTCATCACAGACGACCTTTATGCACGGGCCCTTCACGTGTAATGTTGCAGAGAACCGCCTTCATTTTCATTCAAAGCGGCGTTCTGGCTTTTTGTAGCGTAGGTGCGATGAGATCACAGCTACTGAAAGAAATCAGATTTGGGGAGAAAATCTGTTTCCTCTTCTTTCTCCACGTATGTTAGCTTGAACAGACCTGTGTTTTGCCTCTCTGATTTTAATTCTCTCAAAACACTTTGTGTCAGGTGTTGTGACACTTCTTTCCACTGTGACTTCTCCATTGTATTGGGTTTTTAGGTTTGACTGTTTGCTGATTATTTTGAGTTGGACTTTTCCTTTTGCCTGGAGTTTGCTGCACATGTGTTTCACACTGTGGACTGGTCGTGGGGGCCAAGTTTCCCTCCGTGAAGACTCACAATTGAGGAACACTAGCTCTCATTTCAGATCATGGTTAGCTTTCAGGACAGAAATCACGAGGTGGCTGTCTTCCCATGTGATACACAGACACTGCACTTCATGGATGAAGCGCGGGTGTTTAGCCAGTCCCAAATTTATGGATATGGTTGTTACTTCCACTTTTGCCTTTTCAAACAATGCCAAAATAGTTACTCTGTGCTGATATCTTTATACCTTTAAGAAAGTTTTTCTGATTAATAAGCTCTTTAAAGTGTAGCACATTTAACATCTATCAAAAGCAAAAATGTGATTGTGATGCCTGATGCCCAGCGAGTGTGAGCCTGCTTCAGGCACTGCTGGCTCAGGGCTCCACATGGCTACCACCAGTGCTTTCTATGGGAGGGTCTTTACTGTGGGACTTTGAAAATGTGTTAATCCACATCATGGAGTAGTTGCCATGTTCATTTTACGGTTCATCTTGTGCTCCCCTGTGAGTGTATGTACGACAGATTAATGGTGATCACAGGTGTCCAGGCAGCGCCAGCTGCTAGAAAGGTGCAGCAGTGGTGCTCAGAACCCTCCGCTGGGCTCTGTACCCTGTCCCGCTTTTTCTGAGCCCATCTGAATACTTCCCAGGCCTGATGTTATCTAATCATAATGGCAGGGAATTCTTGGCCTCACATAAGAGTGGTTTGGGATGGGGTTCACTGGGAGGAGGCAGGAAGCTGTGGATTTGAAGGAGACAGAAAGCATGGTTTGTGGGGTGACTCTCAGCTGGGGGCTTCTAGCCTCTGTGTTTTTCCCCTGCAGTGGGGATCCCTCTTAGTCAGCAAATCAGCTGCCCTCCAGCACTGGGGTGACGAGCTCTCATCTGTTGTTGGAATGTCACCCTGGGAACTCCCAGATCCCTGCAGACCTCTCCTATTCTCTGCCCCAGCAACCCTCTCCCCTTGGCCTCTTCCAGAGCACCTCACCCCTTCTTCTGGTAGAAGAAGTTAGCCAAAGATTTCCTCCTGGAAAGAGGCCAGTTCAGTTTGGGACAAGCTCCATAGTTTTATTGTCATTTTTAAGGATGGGTTAGGAATTTGAGGGTTTTAATTTTCTATTTCCTTAGAACCGTGCCAGAAAAAAAAGGCTGAACATCATCATTGTGGCAGAAGGAGCAATTGATACCCAAAACAGACCTATCACCTCTGAGAAAATCAAGGAGGTGAGTGCGGGCAGTTCCTCATTTTCACTGTGTTGCCCACCTGGAAACGGGAGCTGTTAACACGATTGACAGGGTTTTGGTTTAGAATGTTACATTATATTAGAAACGTTTTTTTTTTTCCTTCATGATATTTAAAAATATTTCCATAATGACTCATCACTTTAATGGCATGGGAAACGGATAGCTCCGACCTCTGGATGGCCAGCACTTTGCACATTCTCTCTGGCGATATTTCTAAGGGTGCCGCGACCCCCAGAGTCAGGAAATAGAGGAGGTGTGGTTGAGCAGCCAGGAGTGTACATTGTATTAGAAAGTTCTGGCTCTTGAACGTCAGCTGCCCTGAGAATGAGGAGGACTGACTGCTTGGCAGCTGACCCTGACTCCTCTGTTGGCTACAGTAGAAAAAGGTGGTGTCCTCCCACCCCTTGCCCTCCTCCTAGCCCAGAGTGTCACTGAGCATGTCTTACACAGAAAGCCCCTGGGGCCCTGGGAGAGGCAGACTCAGGCAGGTGCCACAAGGCTTGCTTGGACTGGCACTCACCTGTCTTGATAGGACTCTGAGGTTGTAGGCCAGGCTCCTGGTGATGGAGGTGACCGGACACACCACAGAACAAGACACTGGGCAGCAGACAGGCTCTGGACGAAGCCACAGGTCAGGGCAGAAGTTACCAACCCAGTTTGCAAGTTTATTCCTGTCATAGTTCATTTTCTGTTTCAGATAACAGAGTATCTGAAACTGGGTAACTTATAAGGAAATGAACTTTATTTCTTATAGTTCTGGAGGCTAAGAAGTCCAGGGTCAAGAGGGCACATCTGGTGAGGATCTTTTCCTTGGTGAGGGCTCTCTGCAGAGTCACCAGATGGCACAGGGCATCATGCGGCAAGTTGGCAGAAATATATTAATGTGCTCACCTTCTTTGTAAAGCCACCAGCCACCCTGACAGCCCCTTCACCAATTCATCCATAAATGGATTAATCTATTCATGAGGGATCTGCTATCATGATCCAATCACCTCCTACAGGCCCCACCTTTCCAATGCCAGTCTGATTTCCACCCTCCTAACACTATTACAATGGGGATGAAGCTTCAAGATGCACTTTGGAGGGGACAGCCTCTCAAACCACGGCATTCCACCCCAGTCCCCCAAAGCTCACATCCTGTTGCATGCAAATACACTCATTCCATCCCTAGCCCCAAAGTCTTAACTCACTCCAGCACCAACTCAAAAGTCCAAAGTTCCATCTGTGAAATCAAAACAAGTTATCTACTTCTAAGACTTATTCCCATTCCAAAAGGAAGAGATGAACATAAGAGAAGGGGTAGCAGGTCCTCAGCAAGTCTGAAACCCTGCAGTACGGGAGTTAAATCTTAAAGCTCAAGCATAATTTCCCTTCACTCCATGTCCAGCATCCTCTGCACACTGATGTGGGGGTTGGGTCCCCAAGTCCTCGGGCAGCTGCACTCCTATGGCTTTCCTGAGCCCAGCCCACACTTCGGCTCTCCCAGGCTGGTACTGCATACTGATAGCTCTGCAGTTGTGGGGTCTCCATGGCAGTGGTCATCCCAAGGCTCCACTAGACATGGCTCTTGTGAAGATTCTCTGCTGCAACTCTGACCCCACATTTCCACGCAGTATTGCTCTAGTGAAGGCTCTGTGTGGTGACTCTGCCCCTGCGACACGTCTCTTCCTGGGCTCCTGGCTTTTCTGTACATCCTTTGAAATGTGGGTGGAATCTGCCATGCCTCACAGCTCTGGCATTCAGCCAGCTGGCAGATGTACCACCACACGGGTGCCACCAAGGCTTATAGCTTGTATTTTCCAAAGCTGTGGGTCCAGCAGCATCTGGGGCCGTTTTAGCCACAACTGGGGCAGTCGAAAATGCTGTGCTGGAATTCAGGGAGCAGAGTCCCGAGGCATCTCTGGGCATCGAGCCTGTGGTGGGTACCTTGGTGATCCTCGGAAACCATTGTGTCTCCTAGGCCTCTGGGCCTGCGATGGAGGGCTGGCCTCGAAGATCTCTGAGATGACTTCGTGGTCTTCCCCTTGTCCTGATGTGCAGCACCTGGCTCCCTCTGATCACTGCTAGTCTCTTTAGCAACCCGTGGATGCTCAGCAGCAGTCCTGGCACTCTCTCCTAAACACGCCTTTTCAGTCCCTACTTGGTCAGGCTGGGGATTTTCCAATTTTTACACTTTGCCTTTCTTTAGTTATAAATTCTGTCTTTAAGTCATCCCTTTGTTCTCTTTTTCCACTCACTGTATGCAGTTTAAAGCAGCCATGCAACAGCCTGTATGTTTTGCTGCTTAGAAATTTCTTCCACCAAATACTCCAGTTCACAGCTCTTAAGTTTGATATTCCATAAAACCCTCAGGCTTAGGCATAATCTAGCCACGTTCCCACAAAACTCTTCACATTGTTACAGTGGGGATCAACTTTCAAGATGATGTTTGTGGGGACAACCATTCAGACCATAGCAGTTCCTTTATTATGCTTCATTATGGCCAGTTAACGAACAAAACACATCTCTAATTGAATCTAATACCAGCCGTATACCTTGATATTAAAACATAGACAGATACCTGTGAAAGACATCTACTAATATTTATAAGAAGTAATCAATAAAATCAGGTCAAAGATTTTCTTTCTCACTTAATTGAAGTTGAGATTCAGTTATGGAACATTGGACCAGGAAAGAACCGTAGGATTCATATAGCCAAACCCTGGTTTTTTTTTTGGAGAAGTGAACTGGGTTCCAGAGAAATTAGGGGGACTGTCTAAGTTACAGGCTAGTGTTCCCATGGGCTCAGGGCTGAGGGGGATGCCTTGATTTCGGGGGGCGGATCCTGCTATTGAAATCACAGTGGAACAAATTAAAGATGGTTCAAGGGAAATGTTTATATTTTTATAAAACAGAATTTTAAATACAAGCTATTGAAACAGGTTTTCTTTGTTGTTGTTAGAAAATCACTTATTTATTTGCTAGGCGGGAGACAAAACTTTTATCTGATAATAAAAGCATCATTTTAAAAAAATAAATTTCAGCTAGCTGTTCAACTAAATGTTCCTCCTGGAAACAAAATTTAGAAAATACCCATTTTCCATTTAGATCTGAAGAAAAACTAGAAAAATCTTTTCTCAGCACCCAGTACCTGTTCCCAAGTCTGAGGTAGTGTGCTCAGGTCAGTTTCATGTTTCTTAACAGAGGTATTTCCCCACAGCTCGTGGTGACACAGCTGGGCTATGACACACGGGTAACCATTCTTGGACACGTGCAACGAGGAGGGACCCCCTCGGCATTTGACAGGATCTTGGTGAGTGAGGCCCGATTGTGTTAGACATCTTCACCAAGTCTCCAGGAAGGAAGTACTTCTGCAGACATAGAAATCAATTTACCATGAAGGCTGACCAAGGTGCTTATGCCTGGAGATGTGAACTGTCCCTTGTCTTTATTTGAAAGATCCCTGGAGACTTGCTAGCGTAGAGTGACTTCTAGGCCTGTGCCCACTCAGACGTGGGGAGACCCCCTTGCCTGGTGAGTTAGTGAGCCCACCACGGGGACAATGTGGACACCAGGAGAAGGAAACCCCAAGGTAGAAAAGCAGTTTCCTGAGCATAGGTTTCTAGAAATCGATGGGACTGAAGGAGTCCCGCCTCCAGAATCTCAGTTCTTGACGTTCCTGCTCTCCACCTTCTCTGACCTTCGCTGTGGAAACCACAGTGTCTCTGTTAAAGGGCAGTGGGCTGGGGTAAGTGGAAGGGCTGTGAGCACTGAGACTGTGTTCCAGGCCATGGAAAGAAAGCAGGACATGGATCCTGGGGTGGTCTCCAGTGGCCAGAGGTGGGACCTCCTGTGAGGAGGTGAAACACGGTGGGGGCCTGTCTCTGACCCATCCATGTGCCTGTCACTTCCAGGCCAGTCGCATGGGGGTGGAGGCCGTCGTCGCTCTGCTGGAGGCCACCCCCGAGACCCCGGCGTGCGTTGTGTCGCTGAGTGGGAACCATGCGGTGCGCCTGCCCCTGGTGGAGTGCGTGCAGATGGTGAGCGTGGTGTGGCCGGGCTGAGGGCCGGGGCCACCCCACATCCCGCAATGCCCGTGCCGCAGCAGCTCTCTTGTTTTCTAAGTTATAAGTTTCTAGCTACCAGCACCAGACGCTGAAGGAGGACAGAGACTGAGAGAGAAGCCTGTGATGTAGTAGTTCGTAGGGAGAGATGAGACAGTGCTAAATCTCCCCAGTTTCAGCCACTTCTTGTCCTCCTCTCCCCAGGGACATTCAGATCTGCAAGGGGGCCTTGGAATGGCTTCTGGTGAGATTCTGAGATGTGCCAGTCCTTCCTGGCCATGGAGAGCCTGCCAGCAAATGAAGGAAAAACGAGTCACGGTTTTCCCATCAGTTGTTCTGTAGATGAGGTGGCAGAAGAGTTAGTTGCATGAAAAATTATTATCTTTTGCTTTTTGAAGTTAATTGGTCTTTCCAATGGCCCAGAGGTGTATGCCTTTTATGACATATACAAAGAAGTAATTAAGTCAAGGACTAGTTGAAAGCAACTTTAGAAACATAATTTCTAAAAGCCCATAAGAGTACAGTCTGTGTGTGTGTGAATGCGTGTGTGTATTTGTGTGCATGCATATTTGTGAGTATGTGTTGTGGTATGTGTTTGCGTTTATGTGTGAAAGTGTGTGTCTGTGTGCATACATGTTTGTGTGGTGGTGTGTGTGTGCATGTGCGTGTGTATGTCTGTGCAAGTGTGGATCTATGTGTGTGTGTGTGTGTGTGCATTGCACATCTGTATGTGTGTATGTGAGTGTGAGAAGTCAGAGCATTGAACATTGTGCGCTACACTATTTTGAGACTGTTTCGCATGCGTAGCATTTCTGTTCCTCTAGAGACAAACACATGGCAGATATAATGCAGCTTGTGTTCACACCATCATGTCAAGATTTTACTATTAAAAGCTTCAGTGAGCACCTGCTGCTTATTAGTTTCTGTTCCTCTAGAGACAAACACATGGCAGATATAATGCAGCTTGTCGTTCACACCATCATGTCAAGATTTTACTATTAAAAGCTTCAGTGAGCACCTGCTGCTTATTACATATTTTCCTAAGGGTCTGACATGTTTTTAATAACCAGAGACAGCACTAGAAATAGGAGTATTTTTCTTATCTTACTAATGAGGAGACTGAAGTCCAGAGAGATAAATAACTCGCCCAGGATCCTGAAGTTAACTGGGGCTCATTGGGTGTGTCTGCGCCTGAGCCCTTTGTCCTGGGGCAGCCAGGCCCCTCCACTGCCCTGGGCTTGCTGTGACCGCACCTGGGTTCTTCAGCCCCTACTAGAGGGTGTGTTCAGTTTTGCTTTCCACACCAGAATCAAGTGGAGAATTTTCTAGAACCTGGCCTGAGAGTTTTCTCTGGCTCTGCTCTCCTGGAGCGAGATCCTTGCAGTTTCATGGCCATGAACTGGCGGTGCTGCTGCTTCCTTGTTTTGGAAGCCCCCGGGGCTCCGACCATGCTGGACAGCAACAGGATGCAGCTGGCGGCTGGTGGTCCAGGGGTGGCCACTGCCCAGGGTGGGCTGTGGGGCCACGTGGAAGGACCGAGCTGGCCCCCCACGCACCCCGTCCCCAGATGCACCCAGTCTCGATACATTCTTTCTTTTTAAAAAGACTCAGGATGTACAAAAGGCGATGGACGAGGGAAGATTTAAAGATGCTGTACAACTCCGGGGGAGGTGAGTCATTGTGAAGAAAACTCTATTTGATGAGGAGCGCATGTTCCTCGAGCTTGGCCATTTAGTTGCGCTTATTCTATCTCAACGTAAAAACTCAAACAGTGAGGCCGTACGCCAGGTGCTGTGTTTGCAGGGGGCATGTGTGTGGTTTTTTTTTTTTTTGCACTGGTGGGGGGGTTCTTCAGAACCTAATGAGATCAAAGTTCAAGGCGACACGTTTCCAGCATTTTAAAAAACGAACAAGAGATGCACAAGAACGTCGTCTTTCCTTAGCCTGTTTCCAAACTAGAAACTGGTAGCTCCATGGATATATCAGGGTCTCCTCCTTCCCCGACAGCCAGTAGACAGACTGAGCCTAGCATCTGTGGACTGCCTGTGTGGCCCCTGCCGAGGAGCGCCCGCGTGCTGGCCTGCATTCTGAGCTGTGACTGACAACATCCTTCTCTTGCAGGAGCTTTGAGAGTAACCTGAACACCTACAAGCGCCTTGCCATCAAGCTGCCGGATGGGCAGATCCCAAAGGTGAGTGGCCGGCCTCTGGCCATGCCCTCGTCCTACTGCCCTTGGGCACCCTCTGACCTGGTCGATGTGGGTCCCAGCTCAGATGCTGGCTCCTGGAAGGTCACCCCTGACCTCTATGACTGACGGACCTTCCCTTGTGACCTTTGTCCCCATGTGGAGTGGGGTCGCCTGTCACCTGTCAGGCTTGGCCTGGGTCACTTCCAAGGTATGCAGCACATGGGAGCTCGTGCATGCCCAGCAACCCAGTGCCTTCCTTCTCCTGTCTTGCAGAGCAACTGCAATGTGGCCATCATCAACGTGGGGGCGCCCGCAGCTGGAATGAACGCAGCTGTGCGCTCGGCCGTGCGCATGGGCATTGCCGATGGCCATAGGATGCTCGCTATCTACGACGGCTTCGATGGCTTGGCCAAAGGCCAGGTGAGTCTCCCAGCAGGCCCCGGCAAGCAAACGCCAGGAACCTGGATGTCAGTGTACATGGGGAGGCCAGTCCCCGAGTCCCTCCTCCCAGTGCTCACAGCCCAGATTCTGTGGTGGTGCGAAAATCATGACTGTTCACTTGAGTTATGGCTTCTGCTTTTGAATCCATCCTGAGTTAGATTCTAGGCCCTCGACTTAAGCACAGGGTGTAACATATTTTCAGATTTTCAAGTTTTATTAAGAGGTAATAGCCTGACTGGATATGCAATAAAAGAAGTGTGGTATATACAGTGGAATACTATTCAGCCCTGAAAAAGAACGGAATTCTGTCATTTATGACAATGTGGCTGGAACTGTAGGACATCATGTTCAGTGAAGTGATCCAGGCACAGAAAGACAAATATGCAAGATCGCACTTACATGTAAAATCTAAAGAAGTTGTACTAATAGCAGCACTAAAATCGTGGTTACCAGAGGCTCAAGGGGGTGGGGATGCGGGAGTTGAGGAGATGTTGGTCAAAGGATACAAAATTTCAGTTAGACTGGAAGCATAAGTTCCAGAGATCTCTGTACAAAATGGTGACTATGGTTAATAACAACATATTGTATTCTTGAAAATCACTAAAAAAGTATATTTTAAGTCTTCTCATGACAACAAATAAGTATGTGAGGTAATGCAAATTAGCTTGATTTGCTGTTCCACAATGCATACGTATTTAAAAACATCATTTTGTCATGATAAATATATGCAGTTTTTATTTGTCAATTTAAAACTGGATATATTTTTTTTAAAAAGGCACTAGGAGATGGCAGTGCCTCCAGGTCCGATGGACTCCTACCGTAAGTGCGAAGAAGGTGCCATCGCCCCATGGAGCTGTGATCAGGTTTAAACAGAGCGCTGGGGAAACTCAGAGGGTCTGGCACACGCACACACTCACTGAGATATAAGATAGAAACCTTCGTGAAAACAGACAACACTTCTTGAGGGCTTACTATGTCCACTCGTTCTACGGGATTCACACATACTGCCCATTTAAATTCCACGATGAATCTTCAATATTATCCCCATCTTCCTTATGAGAAAACTAAGGTGCAGAGATATGAACTGACTTGACCCAGTTCCCATGAGGCAGGATGTTAAAACAGGACAGTGAGGCTGCAAATCCTGTCTGTAATGAAGGACAGTAGGGGCCAATGTTATTCATTCATTCAGTTGGTCAACAAATATATGCTTTGTTCATTTTTTATACTGTAGAATTAAATGCGTGAGCAAAGCAGACAGGACCCCTGGCTTTGTGGAGTTTAAGTTTCAGAGAGCAGGTTGATGATGAGTGAGAAGAAGTGAGCCATCATCTTAATAGGCAGTGAGCACTGCGTCAGGGACACACTGGGGAGGGGACAGTGCTGCGGGGGCTGCTGACGCCCCTGCAGGCAGTGCTGCGGAAGGCCGCTCTCAGACTGAGGATAGGCAGGTGAGCCAGTGGCCCATGTGAGCATCAGGGATGTCAGCTGAGGCAGAAAGGCTGGTGCAAAGGCCCTGGGGTGGGGCATGGCCCATGTTTGAGGGTGCTGGGGCCACGTGCTGGGGGCGGGGGCAAGAGGGAAGCAGAGGAGGATGGGGAAAGAAAAGGGATCAGGATGGTTATTTGTGAACAGTCGTAAGGAGCTTGGCATTTGTGCTGAGTGAGATGGAGGGTTTCAAGCAGGGGCCTGGCAGTGCTGATGGGGTCTTGCAGGACCTGGTGTGCTTGGCAAGGGCAGAGCAGGAAGCAGGGATTCCAGCCAGGGCTTTGGAGTAACTGGGAGAGAGGTGCTGGGGTATGGTGCTGTCTGGCAGCCCTGGAGATGGTCTTCAAGGCTCTGGATGGATTCTGAAGTCAGGGTCCATAGGATTTGCTCACTAGATGTATGCAGGTGTGAACAGGGAGGCAAGACTGCCCTGCTCCTGGCCTGAGCTCATGGAGGTGGGAAAAGGTGAGGTGCCGAGGCGTGGAGATGCTGAGCTGAAAATGCCACACGTCCCAGCGGTGTCCGGTAGGCAGGTGCACACTGCGTTCTGGCGTCTTCAAGAGGTGTGGGCCGGAGATGTGGGCTTGGAAGGCTTCAGCATCTAGGTGGTGGATAAAAGTGGGGGACTCAAGGAGCTTCCCAAGGGCAAGAGCAGAAGTAGGAGAGAAAGGAGACCAAGGACTGAGCCCGCAGGGCTTCACTGTTAAGAGTGGACGGAGAAGAGGGGACGCCAGCCCAGGAGGCCCTGGGAAGCACAGACAATCCACTTTCCAAATGGACCAACTGAGGCACAGCAGTGGGTAAGACCAGGGCTCCCTCCACATGGGTCTCAGCAGCTCAGAGGGACCAGGAGCCATTCCCTCCTGGGTGAACCTTGCTTCCCCGTCTTCCTTGTTCAGGCTTTAGGAGATTAACTGGTCCTAAACTGCTCTTTGCTTTATGTAAAGAAATATTGCCTTCAACTATTTATCTGGTTACATCTTTCCATTTTGGATTACCACTAGCCATGTATGCTTGTATAATGTTCATCTGTTCAAGTACAAGTCCCCTAGAAATCACACCACCACATAGTAATGGGTCCAGCAAGATAGTTAACTTACCCAGGTTAATTTACCCAAGTTAGTTAACTTATGTGCTCAGGGCTGGCAGGGCTGGAGGTGATCCTTGGCAAGTTCTCCTTCCGCGGTCCTTGCTGGGTCCACCACAGAATCTTCTTTATATGGTTAAGCAGCATTTGCTTAACCACTCATCTAGGTTTTTAGTTTTTTAGTTGTTTTTTTTGTTTGTATTTTTAGGTTTTAAGACAAGAATTTTTCTTTTAATATTTTATCAACCTAAAAGCCATAATGTTAACTTTCCTTCTCAGTGACAGCATTTGACCAGTGAAAGTTTCTATCTAATGCACGTGATGGGGGTGAAACGCAGAGCCCCCCACAGGCAGGTACCCTTGGCAGTGTTCATCCATTGTTTACGCTTAGGAGTCATCCGTTTCACATCTTGACTCTTTCAGCATCGCCAGGAGGACGGCCTCCTAGCGCTCTGCATGTCTCTATGGGAAGACAGCCCGGTGAAGGTGCAGAGATCTGAGCTGATTTTAAGGCTTTCTTATCCCCTCTTCTTTCTTACCTTGGCTGTTTCATTGTGTGTTTGCTCATTAGATCAAAGAAATCAGCTGGGCAGATGTTGGAGGCTGGACTGGCCAAGGAGGGTCCATTCTTGGGACAAAACGGTAATTTCCAAATCTTGACTCTGACCTGCTCTTAAGGAGGAACAGAAGCCCATGGTCTAGAGGAGGAGCTGGGTGCCGAGGCCTCTTCGAACTTCCCGTAGGGATTACTAAAGGAAGAGGCACCGGGGTAGTCACTTGCCCTTCGCTCCAGGAAGGACAGGTCGTTTTAGGGAGCTGGGGATGGGTCCCGGGGCTTGGAAAGTGGAGCAGGTAACTTGTGGACACTCCCTGCAGTAATTCCTCACTTCATTTATGTGAAGAGCAATATGGTGGGCACAAACACCTTGATGTGATTGAGGGTGTGATGCTGGGCCATGATCACTGCACTGTGGTCCCCGCACCATGTGACTGGCACAAGCAGGGCACCCTCTGCTTCTCCAAGCCACAGGGTGGGCAGGAGGTGGGAGGGGCTTCCACAGAGTTTCCAGAATGAGGGACATCACAGAAGGTGACGCTTGTCGGCATCTGACCTCCCCTCTTAATGTGACTGTTTTCAGTATTCTCCCAGGAAAGTATTTGGAGAAGATCGCGGCCCAGATGCGTGTGCATAACATCAATGCCCTGTTGATTATTGGTGGATTTGAGGTACGTTAATGTTTCTGTGTTAAGTTGCTGGTCAGTTTTGTAGGCATGAGGGACAACCCTGAATTGGCTTCATCCAGCATAGTACTTGGGGGCTAGTCTCCATGAACTGGGATTGTAGGTTCCCAGGTCCAAATACCACTGGATAATTGTAATGCAGAAGAAAGACACAGTGGCAGGATGTGACGTAAGACTGACCCTGTTTCAGTACAGCCACTTGACCCAGAAGTGGAAGCCTGACTCCTGAACTGGGGTTCTTCTATTCAGGGAGTTCCGAGGAATGTCAGGTCTATAGCAGTAACTTTCTCTCTTAAGTTTGAAGTCCATGGACTGTTTAGAGAGGAAGGTAGTTGTATGGTTAGATTGTGTTGTTTAAATCACATGTTGGACTGTGGTTCTTAATTTTTTTATAACTAGTGAAGATCAGTCTCATGATAACCTTTTGCTTTTCCTTAATAAGAATCTAGCAATACAAGATTTAGTCTTGCTTCTAAATGACAATGTCCTGTGTTCTCCTTTGTGCGGTCTTGATGTGTCTTTGTGTTGATGTTTTAGTGGTTCCGTGGCAGCCCTGTGCACCCTGGTGCTGTGCTGTTGTGGTTCTCCCCTCTCTCTCCTGGCCCCACAATTGCTCACACTTACCTAACAGGCCTACCTGGGACTCCTGGAGCTGTCGGCTGCCCGGGAGAGACATGAGGAGTTCTGTGTCCCTATGGTTATGGTTCCTGCCACTGTCTCCAACAATGTGCCCGGTTCTGATTTCAGCATCGGGGCAGACACAGCTCTGAACACGATCACTGATGTAAGTACATGTGTGCAGCAAAGCAGATGTTGGCTGCGCTAACTGGGCTGGCCTTTTCTGTCTACCAGTGCACCAGGAATGACCTTCCTCTGCTTCCACACACATGCGCTGAGTGGGACTCTTTTTTCCAGATCAGTGTATTTAAAAAGTCTCTCAGGCTCTGAACATCGTTGATCTAGCTCACCACATTTTCATCACCTCTTTGTCTAAGTGGCGGCTGGGATGATGTTCCCCTGCCAAAATTCACTCAGTGACAGCAAGCACCTGTAGCTCAGGTGGTGCTGGAGCACAGCATTCGTGATGTGGATCATCAGTAAATTCGTTTTTGTTTCCTTTTCTCTTTTTCTCTTTTTTTTTTTTTTTTGCTGAGCCTAATTTACTGCGAGCCTGTCACATTTTATCGTGATAAGCCAATCCTGGGTCGGAGGGCCCCTGCTTTAATCTTTAAGGGCAGAAAATGAACTGAATATTTTATAGTTTTATTCATTGACCTGAATCTACCATGTGCATTTATTATATTTTTGGTCATGGCCATTAACACTATTTTTCCGTTTGTAAATTGGACATGTTAAACTACATCTGAAACAATATTAATGCTATTTTAGTTTTCCTTTTCCTTTTTGGCCAAAAGGCAATAATGAAACATAGAAATACATTCTTAGTATCATATTTGTAAGCCACACTTGGAAATTCACATGAGAGCTTGAAGATCAGTATCTAACACACAGCACATTTCATATTTTTTCTTAATTCAGTTTCTAAATTTTTTCAGAAACTTTCAAGCTTTCTTTTTCCTTGTAAGATCTAGTTCTCACAAACATTTTTCTAAGATTTTTTTTAAACCCTTGGCATCAGATTTATTTCTAGTACTCGTAAATAAAAAACAAAACACTTTAAAAATAAAAGTCCATGGTAAGTAATGCTCAGAGCTTGTCTCTTGCTGTTCTGAGCTGCTCAGTGTTTCTGCAGTTTCTGTACTACGGAGACCTGCCCAGTGCTTCCTGTGCTCATGGTGCTGGAAGGGGTGTTTGCTTGATTTATTGCAATCACTGACCTCTTCCTTAGACTGGTTTAGCTTTCCTGGTGACTGTCGCTGCTGCTTTCACTGCTGTTGGACTGACTCGGGCTCTTAATCGATCATCAGGTTGTGAACATAAAGATCGATGTCTTTCACAAAATGAATTTCATCATTTTTTAATTGTTCTTTTACCTGCCTCAGCTGGATTTTGAATCCACATAAGCTGAGCTTGCAGTACACACAATGGGAGCTTCTTTTTTGCCTAATTGTTACCTGACTTGAGCCCGCCCTAGGGGGATGGGTGGGAATCTGGCAGCTGTCATTTGCAGGGCTCCTGCAGGTACTGGTTGAGGTTGGTGTTTATCTGCTGTGGTATCTGACATGCACTTTCGGGCATGAAAATGAGACTTTCCCACTTTGTAATTTCAGGGTCCTCTGCTATAAAATTTTTTTTCAGATTATAAATATATTACACATGTGAATTATTAAAAATTTGAAAGCCAAAATATATAGAAAAAATACCAAATTATCTATCGCACTTCTTTTACTTTCCTTAGAGGGATTTTGTGATTTATGTTGTTTTTTAAATTTGGTGCCTCACTTATCTGAGTTTCTCAAGGCTAGGTTAACCCATGATAACCTGTGAGAAAGAAAAAGTGACTAGGTAGTAGTCCATCATTCCTGATGGCTTCAGGCTCGACCACATGTGGTAACTGGGGGGTCGTCACTGCTGATACTGTCTCTGGGCACTGAGGAGCCAAGTTGTCTTGGTGCCGTGGGTGTTTCTAGTCACGTGAAGCCAGGCGGTCAGGGTTACCTCAGTGGACGCTGTGACTGCTCAGGAGCTGGACGAAGGGTAAGACAGGTGTATCCTAAAGGTAAAAGGACTGAAATATGGATGTGGCATGTTGAAATTGCTCCGTGTCTTCCAGAGTTCTGTTGGGTGCAGGCAAAGTGAAGCTGAACCCTCTTCCGTAGGTTTGGATTGGGGTCTGAAGCGGCGAGGCTGGCTGTCAGAAGGAAAGGGGCTGGCGTTGTCTCCAGGAAATGAGGGCACGGGGCCGCTCTGGATCCCTCCTGCTGCTGTCCTGGAAGATCAAGGAAGCCCTTGGGAATTGGGAACCTGCAGTGAGCTGGCCTTAGTTCACCCACCTTACTCAGTAGCTGAGAACAGGTGTCCCAAACAGGCCACCTGCAGGCCACAGCCTGAGGGGCTCCCTGGGCTCTCCTATCTAGACACTCTGGTTACTGTGGTTCGCAGCCTGGCCCTGGGTAGCATCTAGGGTTACAGTCTGCAGACGTCTCCCAGTACCAACCGGTTCCTTTTGTTCAGAGGTTGGTGGTTCTCAGCTGGAGTGATTTTGCCCCCAGGGGACATCTGCAATGACAAGGGGACATGTTTGGTTGTCAGGACTGGGAGGGGTGCTCCCAGCACCTGGTGGTAGGTGGAGGCCAGGCATGCCACTCAACATCCTACCTTGTACAGGACAGTCCAACAGGAGTTATCCTGCTGGGAATGTCAGCCACGTTGAGGCTGAGAAACCTGAAGCTTGTCGTGTGTTATTAACCATAGTTGTCTTTGGATAAATAATCATTTTCTCACTGAGTATTTCCTTCTTGCCAGCATTGATATGTAGCTTGCAGATGTATCCTTGAGACAGATTCAACATAAGCAGCATATGGTTAGTGGATCTTCTGGGCAGAGCAAAATTAATAAAATACCCCCGAGAAGGTATTTAGAATATTCTCAGAATGTAGCTGTAGGGCTTTTCAGCTGGACCTCGTTTTCATTCCTTGACTTTGGCACATGACTGTTCTAATAAAAAACACACCCATGTGAACTGAGTGGGTGCTACATTGATCACCGTGAGGTAGCAGGCAGTGACAACAGACCCTGCAGATAGCCCTGACTTAGGATCACAGAGACACTGAAAACCATCATTACATCCCTAAAAGTCCGTCCCACTTTTCTCAATGTGGATAGCACAAAGTCTTAATGGTATTCTAAAATCTCTACACCTGGAACCCAGAGAAGGGTCACTTTTGCTCCTGTACGACCTAGAAGAAGACTCTCCTTTGTCTTCAGTTTTCTACTTTCTGGGCAGAGGCCCCCATGCCCCCTGCCCCACCCTGAAGTTTCCCTCCTGTTTTCTTGGAGATTGAAAAAGGATGATGGGGGCAGGAGGCAGCAGGCACCTACACAATCCAGCTGTCACCTCGGGTTTCAAGCTGAGTGGAGGCACCACCTTCCTCTATGTCTCAGGCCCTGTGGCCTCCCCAAGAGCCTTCTCAGGGGAACAGCCATTTATTTCCATAGGTCTTGTTTTTGATCAACCCTGAGCTAGATGGCTCCCCAGCAGAGTGAGTGAAAACATCTTTCTTACAAGTGCTGGGGAGCCTCCAATGGCACATCTCCGGATGAATCTTTTGGGTTCTGAAGTAGGGTGGTGTTTTGAATGAAGTCCTGCAAAGAACTGCCACAATCCAAGTCCCAAAGGCAGAGCCCGTATGACCAGTGACCAGGGGATGGGCTGCAGGCTGTGCCCGGGGGAGGAGCCCCCTTCACACTGCACCCCGTGTTCACCCAGTGCTGAATGGCCCCTCTCATCCCTACTGACCACTCTGAGAACTAACCTACAGCCAGTCCACCACCCACTGTTCCGAATCCTCAGGCCACCCAGGCTCTAGGACCCAGAATGTTTTGGATTGCAGGCAGATAACGAGAGCACAGCCATTTGCTGAAGGACGCCCAGGAGGGCGAGTCCCACTCTGCATTCAGACTATGTCTGTAGCAGAGTCTAAGGCTGCTCATGTTTAGTGGGTTACATAAAAGGCTGTATATGGAGTGCGATGGTTTTGCCACCAAACAGATTACAAGTACACCTTGCTTTGTTTGGAGCTGGATTTAGAAACAGTGGGTGAGTGGGCCTGTGTCCTACTCACTGCTGACCTGATTACCTCTCCCGGGCAGATCTGAAAACCTCTGTCCACCTGTTAAATAAACACCTGTTAAATAAACACCTTTTTGACATGAGAGCCAAACAATTTCCACTTGGAATTGTAGTGGTGAATGGGGTGTTGCTGGCCCATCCTACTTTATATATTGATTGCCAAGGTCCAAGAAGGAATGAAAGCTCCCTTGAGGAGGAACATGGTCTGTCCTGACGGAGAGCAGGGAGAGTGTAGAAGCGGGCTCTGCAGCACCGGCTGGTGGTAGTGTGATCACAAGCCTTGTTGCACTGCGGGTGACCCCACCTGCCTGCAGAGAGGTAAAGGCGTGGCCTTGCCCTTGAACTCTCCACACCCAAATGCCATGGCTTAAGGGCTCTGAGACGCCCAGAGAGGCACAGCTGCCCTGCTCATGACTAACTGCTGCCAGCCCTGCCCCTCTCCTGCCTGCCACCTGCTTTGCTAACTGCTTGGCGCCTGTTCTGGCCCTGCCACTGAGATGAGGACCAGCTGTGCCTTGTGGCCCTGCATTGTTGAGGTTCATCCTGCTCCTGCCTGGGGGCAACTCTGGGGTTCTCTCTGGCTCCACTGACCTGCATGGAGCAGCTTTCGCTGGCAACTCGGGCCCCTCCCTGCCACCTTCCTGGAGCCCCAGCCACACCCAGTCACTGGCAGGGGACGTGAGGGTGCCCACTCATTGCCTGGCTGTGCCGCCGCCGCAGGCTTATTACGGTGCACTGGAGATGGCCGAGGCACGGGGCAGCCACGTGGAGTTCTGCATCCCCCTATGCGTGGTGCCCGCCACAATTAGCAACAATGTCCCGGGCACAGACCTGAGCCTAGGCTCTGACACCAGCCTGAACGTGGTTGTCCACGTAAGCACTCAGCCTCCACCTCTCGCTCAGCTTTGCTTGCTTGTCCCAATGCTTGCTCCTGCCCCAGGAGGTGTGCCCATTCTCGGGGCCTCTGCTTCTCCCCCTGAAGTAGACACTGAAAGGGGAAACCCATTTAATCTTCCAGAATGAATGAGCCACATGTACTGTTACTCTTTTTCTTTCCATTAGCTTGACTATATATCACACTTTCCATAACAGGATGAATTTTTCTAGTTTCTCTATTTTGGGGGAAGCCTGTCTCTATTGATTAAAAATAAGATGTTATGCACAGTCCTCTGGATAATATGTCTATACATCTAAATAAGAAGAGCTGTGGAGCCCCTCTCTGGGGAGGCCTGCTGCTCCTGCCCAGAGCTAATAGGTAGATCGTGGTAAAGTCACAGGAGCAAGCAGAAAGTGCCTTTGGGTGCCAGTGAGTATGACAGTTCCAGGACAGAGCCGTGTTGATCTGGGCAAAGGATCTGCCCAGAGCTAATAGGTAGATCGTGGTAAAGTCACAGGAGCAAGCAGAAAGCGCCTTTGGGTGCCAGTGAGTATGACAGTTCCAGGACAGAGCCGTGTTGATCTGGGCAAAGGAAGTTCCAGGCCACTGCTGGAAGTGCACCCTTCCTGGTGAGCTGAGATATACTTTAAGAGATAAAATTGCTCTGTACCAGGAGGCGGCTTTTACCCATAACACATCTGATGGGGAGGCATTGATCCAGCGGGACTGGGACATGGCACTGGCAACCATGCTGCACTTAAGGTCTCCAATGCACTGACCGCTCCACGTGGTCTGTGCGCTGGACACGAGAGCTCTGGCAGCTCCCTGCAGCAGAGGCCCTCACTGGGCAGGAAAAAGGATGATGGGGTTGGGACAGTGACTCCCAGCAAGGCAGCTCTGGCCTTTCACTTTGGCCGCTCACATCTGAGTTGGCTCCAGAATTTGCAACAAAAAAATCGCTCATGATTCTGTTGGAGAGATCCCTTAGTCCAACTTGGCACAGAACCTCGGAAAACAGCAGTTTTATTCTAGGCTCTGCTCTGAGTTGAACTGTAATGCAGGGGAGGGAGGAAAGGCCCTCACTTAGGCCCGAGCATGCTACTCTCCTTTCGAGTGTTGCACTGACTCTCATGACAGATATGGCTCAGTGTCTCCCTTGCGGGCTTGTGTCTGTAGTGCTTTCCGAAGACAGGGGGACGGCCTTGCAGAGCTGGTCAAGCTCATTCCCATGTCACACCTATGCAGGGCCCTGCACTGAAACTCCCCGCAGTCGTTTCTTTGCATATGAAATGCAGAGGGTTACTAGCCGCATTGTCACTGGGTGGCACCTTCCTGGCTTAACTCTAACATCTAGATGCTCACACTTACTTTAACCCTCTCTACTCCACGTGGCTTCGCACACGAGCTACTGGGCTGCACTTGTTGCTGGTCCCTGCTTGGGCAGGAATGGGACCCCCACCCACCCACTGCCCACCCTGGCCCCATGTGGTCGCTGCCTGAGTTCTGAGGATGTCAGCTACCTGGAAGCAAGGCCACAGTCATAGGAAAACTGACCTCCCACTTCTCTTTTCTGTCTTAACACTGCAGTCAAACTCTGCCCTATCTTCTCACAGTTGATTTATATTTTAAAGAAGGAGTGTTGCACAGTGTTGGTGGTGTCTGAGCTGCAGCCTGGAGCTTTCCCTGCAGTGGGACCCTTCCCAGGGCTCTTGCTGGGGGAGCCTGTGTTGGGTGCAGGGGGGCATTGCATTTGCCAGGCGCGTCTGTGGTGAGACACTGTGGGCGCTGGCTCTGCCCGCTGTCTGGCTCATGGCTGCTGTCCACATGCCGGGCAGGGGTGTGACCCTCTGCAAGTCCTTCTCCCACCCGTGACTCTTGACAGAACTACTTTGGTGACTGCAGGGGCACAGCGGGAATGGCTTACTATTTTTAACTAAGTGAAGCCTTCAGATACGCATTTGCTTCCTTCAGTGACCAGCACTTACGGAGCGCTCGCCATGCAGGAGGTACCACCAGGAGCTGCTGACACTGCATGGCACAAGCCCAGCCCTGATCCCTGCCCTGTGGAGTTTGCAGTCTAGTGAGGAAGACACAGCAATGGAGTAAGCACATGAGTAATTGCAGGAGGGCCTACCAGGTTGATTCCTCTAGAGGAAGGACCTGCTGGGTAGAGAAGCCCCTCACAGAGGGAGCGGTCTGTCCTGGGGCTTGGGCAGCCTTTTCCTGAGAAGCAGCATCCGACTCTGGCTCAGAGCTGAGGCGGCAGGAAGGCGCCCGTTTCAATTTCCTGTGGCTGCTGTAGCAAATGAGTACCAACGTGGTGCCTCAAAGTGACACTCACCTGCTGTTCCATCGCCCTGGAGGCTGGAGCCACGGCTGAAACAGGGTGTGGGGTCCAGGGAAGAGCCTGCCCCAGCTCCTTCCAGGCCCCAGCGTGCGTTCTGGGTGCTTTGGTGCCAGGCCTTGTGCCTCTACATCCAGCCTCCCAGGGCCCGCCCACCTGGGTAATCCTGGATATTCTCCCTGTCTCGGTTAGTAACTTCATCACCATGTAAGGTAATGTTCACAAGTCCCAGGCAGCGGGACCGGGATACTTTGGGGGCTGCTGTGCAGTCACCACTGTCGCCCACCTGGGTAATCCTGGATATTCTCCCTGTCTCAGTTAGTAACTTCATCACCATGTAAGGTAACGTTCACAAGTCCCAGGCAGCGGGACCGGGATACTTTGGGGGCTGCTGTGCAGTCACCACTGTGCCTGCAGAACATCCGAAGTGCAGAGCCCAGCACGAGCAAAGGCCCGGGAGGACTGGAGTGTGGCCCGTCCCAGGGCCTGGACGACAGCTGGAGCCAGGCTGCAACCTGGTGCGGGAGTTTCAGGGCCAGGGGTTAAATAGAAAGGCTTTGACGTGTGGTCACAGAAGTAGTGAAGGATTTTTAGCAAGGCAAGAACTCGGGCAGATTTGTGTTTTTTGTAGATGGAGCTTAGTTTGTGTGAATGGATTGGAGGGTCCAAGAGGGGCTGCCACAAGCCGGTTAGAAGCTCTGGCGGGGACTTGGGCACGTGCTGCAGTGGGAAAGCGGAGGATGGCTTTTGTTATTTTCTCCCCTGAGCATGAGTCATCATGGAGGGCAGGTGACGAGACGTTTGATTATAGATCTGCTGCCTGTGCATCCAGAATGTTTCTCTGCTCGCTCTAAGAAACCACCGTGTGTCCTTGAGTAGAGGTGCCCTAAACATGATGTAAACCACAGATGGACTGAAGGTGATACAAATTCTAAAATCACAGGGCACTTTCAAAAGAAAAGATAAAATAGCACAGAGATTCCCATCGACCGGGCAGGCAGCTGACATTCCCATAAAATCCAGATTCACCCTAGCTAACGGTGTTGACATCTGCGACAGCTGCTTTAGCAAGGACACGTCCAGAAGGCAAAGTAGAGGAGCTGGTTGGAGGTACTATCCTCCCCATCACCTCCTAAGGCACCCAGGATGAGGTGGCAGCCAGGCCATCGCGGGCAAGGGCCCTTCGAAGGCTGATGTGTGTCTGGCAGCTATGCACACTGTGTCTGCAGTGGTGGCCGCATGCTTGGCTGGGGAGGTGCTTGCTACAGCGTGGGGTGGGGCAGGCAGGCCTTGGGCCCAGTGCTGGCCAAGGTCCTGGGCTGTAATGATGGTGTCTTCTTCTGTGACCAGACGTGTGACCGCATCAAGCAGTCGGCCAGCGGGACCAAGCGCCGCGTGTTCATCATCGAGACCATGGGGGGCTACTGTGGCTACCTGGCCAACATGGGAGGGCTCGCAGCTGGCGCAGACGCTGCCTACATTTTTGAAGAGCCATTTGATATCAGGGACCTGCAGGTAAGTGAGGGGTGGGCCTCTGCGAGGCTGCTCCCTGGATCTACCCAGTGCTCAAATGAGTAATCTGTGATTGTGGGCTTGCTTCGCGAGGGGCGGGTGGCATTGTGAGACCTCCACATCTTCTACACTTCAGATCACCTGCTCCCTGCATGCAGGTGCACCTCTCTCAGTATTAGGGTGACAAGAATAGGCCTGGGTGAGGCAGCCTCTCATTCTGTGTGTGAAGACTCATCCTTATGTATTTTTTGTCTATAAGTAAATGATTTCACCCATTAAGTAGCTAATGTTTTTCTGAGGTCTGTCGTTTAAGGACGATATTAACTCACTTAATGGGATCTGATACTTCATTAGTTTCTCTTAGGCCTTTTGAAATATTTTGAACAGCCCCAAACTTTGGGTGTCCTTGTGGTCTGAGGTTGGGGAGACAGAGTCGCTGGAAGGAAGCTTCCTTCCTGGAGGGGGCCCTGCAGCCTCCCAAGAGAAGCTACACTGAACCAGGGCACTGAGACGGCCGGGGACTTGATGTGGGCTTCCCACTACATCTGTGCTGTCAGCGTGGCAGAGGCACCTGTCGACAGTTAGAAACAAAACAGGAGCCCATCGTGCTGCACTTCCCTGCTGCATGCTGCTGCTTTTAAAAAATATTTTTAAAATAACAATTTTTTAGAGCAGTTTTAGGTTTGCAGCAAAATTGAGAGGAAGGCACAGAGTTCTCATACACCGCCCTCAAAGTATTCACAGCCCCCCACCACCAACACCCCTAGCAGGGTGGGGCAGCACCTCCGCTGACACCACCCCAGAGTTTACATGAGGACTCACCCTGGCTGTGGCTGCAGCTCCTCTCAAGGCTCAAGGTCTCTGCTCCCGAATGGGCCTAGGCATGGCCAGAGTCCCCACAGGCTGCTGGATGCAAGGAGGTTGGAGCGGAGTCCAGGGCCTGGTGGGACCCTCAGCACACTCAGCAGGCGGTCACAGGCATTGGCGGATGAGACAACTTGAGCAATGCTCTTTAAAGTGATGATAGCATCTGTTTCTGAGCTATGTCAAGTGGAGAGATGGTTGGTGTTAACACTGTCATGACATGGACACTTCAGCTGTGAATTTCTTCACAATACTGAATTAAATATTTATGCTTCAAAAATCTACCAAAAGATCATGTCTCACCAGCACTTTATGATGGCTCTTGGCGCATGGTACATGCTTAAGAAATGTCATCATGACTGAGACTTGGTTATATGTAAAAACTTCACTTTTTAGGGTGAGTCACTAGAAAATCACCTTCCTTTTGCACCCTCCTCCCATGAATTGAATAGGATGTTTTTGCACATTTCCTCTTTCAAGATATAGTTCTCTTTTCCTTACAAAATTTGTGTATAAATATGAATCCATAAAATTTTTTGTTGTTGTTCAGAAAATGTTCATGAGGCAGTTAAATGATCTTCTGTGTAAGTCAGGCAACATATTTTCTCCTGAGTGCCCTGAGATAGAAAACACTGTTATGAAAATAGATAAGGAGCAACAGATAAATGCATAAGCGCAAGGCAAACAAACACCCAGAATAACATGGATGTTTTGAAGGGAAACCTACTTATTTTGGAAAGCATTTCCGGAACTTGTGCATTCCATTGACTCAATAAATATGCCCAGTGATGGGGCCCCCACGCCCATCAAACCAGGAGTCTTCACAAAGTTCATGCAAAGATTAATATTATCTTTTAATTCTATTTTTCCATGAACTTTTTGAAGTACCCTCACGCGCACTGCATTATCTTGCTTTATTGCCACCACTGCACTTCTCACGACCTGGTACACTTGTTTGTTTGTGGTATATCTGACGTGTTATTTGCTTATGGGAGTCTCTCACAAAAACACCAGCTGCAAGAGTGACCCTTTCTCGTTCTTATTCACTGCTGCGTTCATTCCAGCCCTTAGAATCATGCAGTACCTGGCATACAGTAGGTGCTTAATAGATGCTTACTGTCTGATTAATTCACAAAACACTTTTCTAGTCCAATGTAGAACACCTGACGGAGAAAATGAAGACCACCATTCAGAGGGGTCTTGTGCTCAGGTAATGGGAAAATATTTCTCATCTTATTTTCATTCTAAATACAGGTTTTTAGAATCTATTTTACGATCTAAAAACCTAATGAGCAATCATTTCTTTGCCACTGATTCTGTGAATACTTTAGAAATACAGGAGTAAATTGTGTGTTTTGTTAAAAATTTGCTTGCATTTAAGTAGTTAAAGTGTGGTTTAAAAATTTTATTTTTGAAGTCTCTTATTTTGGAAGATTATCTCTAAATCATTTTCTTAAGCTGCCCTTTATGAGGAAAGAAGAAAATACAATAGTGCCCCTTATCCCAGGGGATACATCCCAAGCCCCCTAGTGGATGCTGGAACCGAGGACAGCCTTGAGCCCATATCTGCTGTGTTCTCGGGGTAATAACTGGGGCGGCTACTTGTGACCAGTGGGCGGGTGGCATCTACAACGTGATCTGCTGGACAAAGGGGTGATTCACGTCCTGGGCGGGAAGATGCAGGACGGCGCAAGGTTTCATCACACCACTCAGGACGCAATCTAAAACTTATCGTTTATTTCTGGAATTTTCCAGATAATATTTTTGGACTGTGATTGACCACAAGTAACTGAAACCGCAGAATGTGAAACTGCGGATAAGGGGGGACCACTGTATGCAGAGTCATATAAGGGACAGCAGCCACTACGGGCAGAGCACATTGTCAGCAAGCTCCAGACCTGCTGCTGGGTGGATGAACTCGACTACTTCCTGTTTGTTTCAGAAACGAGAGCTGCAGTGAAAATTACACCACCGACTTCATTTACCAGCTCTATTCGGAGGAGGGTAAAGGGGTGTTCGACTGCAGGAAGAACGTGCTGGGCCACATGCAGCAGGTGTGCCAATGGTCCCGCCAAACACAAAACTAAGCTGTCATTCACGTGACGACTTAAAACCCTTGTCCTAGCAGGGGAAGGAGCTCCATGGGCAGGCTTGACGGGCTCGTTCAAGCGACAGGAACGACAGATTGCTTTTTGCACTGTTCCAACTATATACAAGGACATAGAACTATGCAAAAACAAAACCACTGTTGCAAATTTGAGTCTCTTAAAAACATTATGTGAATTTTGTTAAATAATAGAAATTTTTATCTCTATTTTGATTTCAAAAAATCAAAGTATTGCTGTGTAACTAATGTTTCATGTAACTTTAACCAACAGGGCGGAGCACCCTCTCCTTTTGATAGAAACTTCGGGACCAAAATCTCAGCCAGAGCTATGCAGTGGATCACCACAAAGCTGAAGGAGTCCCAGGGGAAAGGTACAAGGCCGTGGGGGGGTGGCTACAGCATAGGACACAGGGTGCAAGTTGCCCACCCAGTGAATGTACTGCTGCACCTTCTTTTCTTATATTCAGCATTGAGCTGAATTCATGATAACATAGATATGAGACCTGATAACATCGTTTCACTCTTGCTAGTGTCTCAGTGTTGCTATTTGTGACTTTCAAGGTATAATTAAAGATAATTGATAAAATGCTTTATTCCTGCTTATCAGTGATGGGAGGCATTCAAATAATTTAGTAGCACTCTCATTATTAGCCATAACATTGCTGTGCTCACTAAGGACTGTATTACTAAGATCATAAAATGTGACTTTCATTAGTTTTATTTATTTGGCTCCTTGGAACAGCTTTTACTTAAGGTACTTAAGACATCCATCGATTCATACACAACTTCTCTTTGAGAAAAAAATACCGAGAAAGGGAGGCATCTGGACTGTTTCCTCCTCCAGAACCTAAATGTATCCTTTAGTCACCTTGAACTGGCTTTTACTTAAGGTACTTAAGACATCCATCGATTCATACACAACTTCTCTTTGAGAAAAAAAAACCGAGAAAGGGAGGCATCTGGACTGTTTCCTCCTCCAGAACCTAAATGTATCCTTTAGTCACAGTTTACTCCCTCCCTGCTAGCCACTCCCGTGCTTTCCTGTAGTTTGCTACCTTGAAGTTTTCGAAGGCTGTCACCTGGTTTGTCTGGTCTTTGTGGTTAGTGGGTGGATGGAGACCTCCGTGTGTTTCTCTGTGGCATTAGGCTGGGCACACTGTCAATATGCATCTGTTATCTGACACCCACTGCCCGGAAGGCCACCTTACCCTCCCGCTGGCACACCTAGAGCTGCAGAGCCAGGTCCCCAGGTCTGCCCCAGGCATGTGTACAGGCTGGTCTGACCAACCACAACCACATGCTCGCTTGCAGGGTGTGCATTTTCCTTGATACCCCCAGACTTGTTTACTGCTTCCTATTTGGTGGGTGTGAGATTCTCATTGTGGCTTTAGGAGGCTAAACTTCATGGGTAATGAGCGAAATGCCAGGTTCTTACGTTTCCTTAATGTTCTTATTTCTCTGTGATCTGTCCAATTATTTTGCTATTGGTTGGTTATGTTTATATTGTTTTATAGAACTTTTAAATATTTTTCATATTTTGCATTTGTATTTTACTCTAAGATCTGGTCAATCATGTTGTAAATATTTTTCTCCCATCTTTTGTCATCCCTTGTCATAAGTTGTGTTTCAATGAAATCTCCTTAATTTTAATGTAGTTAATTCACCAACCTTTTCCTTTATGGTTTGAGTTTTTTGTGTTACTAAAATATTCTTTTATGCTTAGTTCTTTAATCCACTTGATATGAAATTTAAAGTCTAATTTCATTTATTTTACTGTGGATAAACAATTATTTGGGTGCCACTTATTAAAGAAATTTGTTCTTTTTTCTATTCGGCAGTACAATTTTGATCACGGATAAAGTCTCTATAAAATTAAGGGACTATTACCAGGCTTTTGGTTCACCGGTGGTCAATTATCAGTCCTTGCCAAAGCTCCTGTCTTACATGTAATTGCTGATATCTCGTAGGGCTCGTTGTCCTACCTGGGCCTTCTTCCAGTGTCTGGCTGTGATACCATAGAAATAGGTTGTGAAAGGCCACCAGAAATTCTGCTGGGCTTGTTAGTGGGGAACTGCATTTAGTTAGTAAGTCATTCAGGGGAAGAACTGACATTTTCAACAATATTGAACTTTCTAATTCCTGAACACTATATCTCTTTCCATGTATTTTAAATTTTTAATCTTTTATGAAAGCATTACTTTTTTCCATAAAGATCTTGCATATTTTTCGGTAGGTTTATTCCAAGGTTCTTGACTTTTAAAAAACTATATTATTGTAAAGGGTGCTTAATTTTTTTTTATTGCTGGTGTATAAAAATACATTAAAAAATACAATTGATTTTTATAAACTGATTTTGTGATTAGCAATTTTTCTGCACTCTGAATTCTAGTATTTATTTATTTATTAATTTATTTTACATACACATTCAAGTATGGGGCCTTTTGCTTTTTTCCTTGATCGTCGTGGTTGGTGTCTGGGAGTTACTGCACCAGGTACTTCCTCCAGCAAACCCTGAGCAGGTGCAGTAACAGCAGGACTCCTGTTCTGGTCTCGACCGTGATGGGAATGTTTCATGACTAAAAATTCTTATTAATGTTTAACTGAAATCTTTCTTTCTACATTTTAATATTGACTGTTAGCCTAAGTATTTTCTCAACCATGAAAGGATATGGCATTTTATAAACTTTTTGCCTGAAATGAGATCATCATGTCATTTTTTTCCATTAATCTGTTTTTAACGCATTTCCAGACCCCACTCATTCCTGATATTGATGTGTGTGCAAGACCTTTCTCTCAACCCCCAGTTTTCTGGATCATTCATCCCAGATGTGTTTTTATTAGGGCAAACCATAGCAAGTTCCAATGTCTGACTTAGAATAATGGTGATGTAAACAGTCTGAACCTAATTTTAGTCTTTTCAAAGAACTGACTTTGGATTTCTTTCCACTAATAGTTTGTTTTACACATTAATTTCTCCTTTTATATTTTTCTTTTTACTCTTGGATTTCTTTTCTTCTTTTCCCATCTCAACTTTCAGCCTCTCACAGTATGTGCATTCATAGGCACATTTCTTCTTATTGATATTTAACTGAAGTCTTTCTGCCATTTAAGCTGATTTACCTATTCTAGTATCTAGTATTTAGTGAAAGACTCACCACCACTATTTAAAAAAAAAAAAAAGCTCCTTTCCAAGAATCCTTCTTCCTGTGGTGGTTGTGTTACTCTCAAGGGGTGTGTGAAATCAGGGGGGCCACATCACAACTGGGTCCTCTCTCCTCCCTGACTCCTCAATCCCAAGAAGAGAGGACCCCGAGAGGGAGCAGAGCTGGAGGGGGAGGACGTGGGTCTGTTGTGAGTGGCGGCCCATGATTAGAGGACACTGATTCCCAGGTGGGGTCCACGCCCCCATAGCACCTCCAAAGTGCCTGTCAAAACTGGAGGGAGTCCCCGGCTCAACTCCCACTCTCTTATGCTCCCTGGAGTTAGCTGGTTTTTCTTCTTCCCTGTTCCTTCCTTCATGTGCCATTGGATCTGCCCATTGAATATTATGAGGCATTAGTTCTTAGGTCATTTTTTAAACTTTTACAGGAAGAAAATTTGTTACTGATGATTCCATTTGTGTGCTGGGGATAAGCAAAAGAAACCTCCTTTTTCAACCTGTGACAGAGCTGAAGAAGGAGACAGATTTTGAGTAAGTGCAATGCTGTGCATCTGAATCCTACTGCAGTGAGGAGGGACGGACGTAGGAGTCTTGGGGCAGAGGGGTGCCACTGTTGTGGTCACCATAAGTAATTCATTCAAGTGTTTTAAGGAACACAGTGGCTTTTCTGAAGTTAAGTTAAAAATACTGGATTTCTAGAAATAGCAGAATTTTTAGGAGTATAAAAGTCATGGTTTCATTTGACCTATGAAAATTGCCTATTCTCACCCAGAATTTACTGGGCCAACTGCACACGCCCCATTCTGGCACCTCTGTCCTGCAGCTGTGACAGTGTGGAGCAGTCCGAGGCTGTCGTCCAGCAGCAGGTGAAGTCCATACCCCTGCCCCTCTTCCTTCACAGGCACAGAATTCCCAAAGAACAGTGGTGGCTCAAACTGCGGCCTCTCATGAAAATCCTGGCCAAATACAAGACAAGCTACGACGTGTCCGACTCTGGCCAGCTGGAGCACCTGCATCACCCCCGCAGCTCCCACGGGGAGCCTGCCGCCATCTGAACTGCATGCGCTGCTCGCCCACCCCCACACATTCATCCAGTGAGGCCTGAAACCTACCGCGGACCGTCCTGTTTTGTAACACTTAAGTTATTTATCAGCACTTTACGCAAGCATTGACATTCAGACCTAATAAAGCACTGGTCACCAACATTGTTCTGATCCCAGTCAGGTCCTAAGAGATTGTCTACTGTTCCTCGATCTATGCTTTAAAATGTGTGTGTCTACTAGAATTAAACATTTGGCTGAAACTCCCAACAGTGCTCAGTGTTTTATATTTTTAAGGAGTTTAAATCCTCAAGATGTGTGGATGGCTTCTGAAGGGTTTCTCAGCAGTTCTGTGGGCAAAGGTCAGCAAAATGCTGTTACAGGGGCCTCTGAACTATGCAAGTGTGAAGTCACAAAAGCAGAGAGAAGATTGTGCTCTGACAAAGAGCAACACACACCTTTAGGTAAGCACGGAGCTCCCCTTTGGTCCATGCTGAGAGTGAATGTGGACAACAGCTCTGGCCGGACACCTGGGCGTCGGGCCCTGGCTTGGACAGTGAAAACTGTGCAGGTGGGTGAGGTCACTCATCTCCAGCCTCACATTCTTTTACAGTGAGTCAAGGTGCAGACTTCAGCAATAGAAAGTATGAACTGCCTTTAAAGCAATGAATGTGGACAACAGCTCTGGCCGGACACCTGGGTGTCGGGCCCTGGCTTGGACAGTGAAAACTGTGCAGGTGGGTGAGGTCACTCATCTCCAGCCTCACATCCTTTTACAGTGAGTCAAGGTGCAGACTTCAGCAATAGAAAGTATGAACTGCCTTTAAAGCAAGCGACTCTTGCACACTCTTGATTTCAATCCTAGCTGCACCCTGACACCACCTGGGGGGCCTCTTAAAGAACTTCATGCCCAGGTTCTCCTCCAGACCGAGCCACTCTCAGTCCTGGGGGACCCGGGTTAGAGCTCCCTTGGTGTTCACACACGCAGGATGGTGACCATTGCCCTGATGGGTCTCGTACTGCCTCCTTTCTGTAGTTCATGCTCTCTCAGATCCAGCCTCAGGAAGGAAGCCTCCAGACATCTCGTGCTAGTGCACTTCTGTTGCTTATAACAGAATACCTGAAACTGGGTAATTTGTAAAGAAAGAATACTTACTGCTTATAGTTTCAGAGGCTGGGAAGTCCAAAGTTGAGGAAACAAATCTGGTAAGGGCTTTGTTCTTGGCGATGGCTCTCCAGAGACGCAGGGTGTCACATGGTGAAGTGGCTGAGCAAGACAGAGCTAATCTGCTCACTTTCCTTTTAAAGCCATCAGAACCATGCCGATGGCCAACCATCAAACTATCAATGGATCAATCCACTCACCAGGGCACAGTCCTCACAATCTAATTACCTCTTAAAGGCCCACTTTTCAAATGCCATCATTGGATTTCCCACCCTCTTAATACTTACAATGGGGATCAAGTTCCCAATACATGAACCTTTGGGGGACACTTTTTCTTTTGGTGGCTGGTTGGTACAGGGATCAAAACCTGGACCTTGGTGTTATCAGCACCATGCTCTGATCTACTGAGCTAACTAGCCAGCCCCTGGGGGACACATTTGACCCACAGCACATCTATATACCAGAAATGGAGGGAAGAGAGTTGTATAAAGCAATGGTGGATTATTAAAATAAGTATGGATAATGAGAATAAGATGATAAAGAGCTGGGACTCAGACATTTCCTGTTTATTTCAGTAAACACAAAGTGAGAAAAGCTCAAGTGAACACGTATCCATCACACATGTCCAGTCCTCAGGATGGACCCCCGGGATGCCTGTTTCTCACATTGGCTGGGAAGACTTTTCTGCAGTCCCTGGTGTGACCGCACACTTCATAAATCCAGGGAGATGCTGGAACTCCCTCATTCACTTACTCCTTTTACTAGTTCATTTTCTCAAAGGCCGTAACATGTTCTACTGTAGCAAAATGTCATTTAAAATAATGGCTGAAGCACGGGAAGGTCAGAGTTGCCTCTTATTTTTAAATTGTGGAAATAAATGTTCTAGGATTAATAAGATAAAATAAACATTTGTATCATTAGAAAGTCTTAAAATTCTAATTGATGCATCTTTGGCATTTAATACATGATTATTTCAATTAATTTCTTCTTGGTCACAAGGTAGAAGGGTTTTTGTCTGACGTGCCTGTCAATACCTTTGGCAAAAAACTAAGAATGACTGATGTATTATGGAAAAAGCAGGAACATTTCTGACCTTTCAAATGCTACTCAGAGGCATAATTTTTAAGAGCCTGTATATATGTAGGTCCACTGAGGTCTGAGTCCATGAGGAATATGGTGACTGGTCATCTTATTATCCATGACGGGTCCTTAGCAATCTTTGCGTTCTCTGGTCCCAGTATAGCCACTGCACGTGTGCTCTTCCCAGTGCCCAGGTACCTGACGAGACAATAGGGGCAAATCAGGGCCGTTTTTGACATTGGTATTTCTTAAGGTCAACACTAAGTCTTCACACTTCTAAGTCTCCTTTTCCCCTGCACATGTGCAGCCACGCCCACCCTCATCTACCACCCACACCTGCCCTCACACACATGCCCCAGTGCCCGCCCTCACCTACCGCCAGCATGAAGCCGTGCCTGCACTTACCACTGCCCGCACATATGTGGAGCACACACTCACTCCTCACGCACATGCAGAGCCATGCCGCACACTCACCTGTGGCTCACGGCCATGAGCTGGTTGTGGCTGACGGCAAAGAGCTGCTCCCGGTGCCTCTGCTTCGCATCATCAGAGAGGCCGTACAGGAAGACGTCCATCCCTGCAAGTTAAAGCACAGACCCAGATGGGGGAGCTGCCGTGGGACAGCTGGCACAGCAGGCTGGGGCTCACATCTTGGTGGAGGCTGATGTCATCACACCGTCACTTTCTGCACATGTTCCAACCACAGGGAAGTGTGTGCCCAGCTCATAGATCCAGCCTTGACTTGCAGCTCCCATGGAGCCACGCTGACTCCCACCAACTCGCGCTTCTGGAAAGCGGATGGAGTCAGCAAGGGTCATATAAGGATGGTAACATTGTGAGCAAGGGGTTTCCACAGGGATGTGGCCTTGCCTGCATGTCAGCATGTCCTCAACCCTCACTAGCAAGTCGAGTGGCTGGGTCAGCCATGGGCCTCACTGCGCCTAAGCTCACTCACACTCTGCGTAAGACGCGATTCTTCTGAAATGGCAAACATCAAAATGTTCTAGCCTGGATATCAACAAGCTCATCTTCAAGATCAACGTTTAGGTGGTCAAACGTGAAAACTGTATCACAGAGGACAGACGAGGGGACAGGAAAAACAAACGATGGGACTGCTGCGGGGTCCACACGTACAAAGAAGCAAAAGACTCAGAGAGCTGCGTGGGTGAAATTCTGTCTGTGCACATGTCAAGGCTCTCATTATTCACTCAAAATACCTTTGTCTGAAGGAGCAACAGGAGCATCTACAGTTGAGAAAACAGACAATTTTGCTTCATCAATGTCCTGCTGTGTGAATTTTCCAGCTTTAGCCCAGTCGACAGCCTTCCCAAAAGACTGGAGCGTTTCTATTGAATTTGGGTCCCTAGAAAAGCCAGAGAGTTAAATATTTAAGCATTTAACCAATGGAAAAACAAATGGCAATCGTGTTGACTGAACAGATCTTCAAAAAATTCTACTTGTTAGCAGTTCTATTTTAACACTTCACAGTCCAAATAGCTCCTGACAAAATTAATTACGGTCTGTAGAAATTTAAACCTGACCACAAGAAACTTTCGATAAGGGCCGGCCCGGTGGCGCACTGGAGAGTGCACCGCTTGGGAGTGTGGCGGCGCTCCTGCCAAGGGTT